ACTAAGAGAAAGGGAACCCCTCTTCCTTATAGGAATATTCCATATATATGTGTGTGTATATATATATATACACACACACACACACACACACACACACACACACACACACAGTGGATCTTCAAGTTATGACCAGCCTGGCATATGAGCAACTTGTGTTAATTAGGTTAATGGAAGATTTATCTGCCTCTTGTTATCTATAGCATGTACCAAGGTAAACATCCAGACCTCAGCTGTATTGACTCGAGATACAACTGGCCCTCAGCAACCAATAAAGTGTGTGAATCAAGGGTCCACTGGATATATATATATATATATATACACACATATATACATATATATATACATATATACATATATACATATATATATACGTGTATATATATATATTTTCAGGAGGTAGAGCTTAATTTTCCCTCCTTCAAGACAAATCTAGACATAAGAACTTGCTTACAAAGTATAAGGTATAGAAGGAGAAAAGGGAGATGTTTTGCACTGTAGATATCTGGTAGACATCTTACCTCTGGGTGAAGGTTTAGGACAGTGGTTATAAACTATGTTGATATCATGTATGCCTTGATAAGAAGCAAGGAGAAGGGTACCTTACTTCTTTGATATTTTTACACAGAACAGGACCAGTCTAATCATGAGAAATAAATAGGCAAACTCAAATTAAATGTTATTCTACAAGGTACAGGGAAGAATTCTTCCAAAGCATCAAGAATGTGGCTGTTAAGGAGAGATTGAGAAACTATCATAGGTTGGAAGTGGTATGATAATTTGATGGCTGAATACAATGTGAGTTCCTGGATTTGATCCTGGAACAAACAAATGATAGTAATGAATAAACATGCAAAATCTAGTTTATAACTTAGTGGCATTGATCCTATATTCTTTTCTTAGTTTTGATAAGTGTACATTAGTTTTGCAAGATGTTAGAATTAAAGAAATCTGGATGAAGTATAGATGAGAACTCTCCCTATTAAAATGATAATCATTCAAAATTATTTTCAATTAGAAGTTTCCTAAATATGTTAACACTTTAACAAAACAATTTTATTTAAACATTTTAACAAAACAATTTTAATTAAATTGTTCAACTAAATGCATATAACTGAATGACTACACCAGGCAAGCCTTCATTTTTGGTGCCCGGTATACGTGAGTGAAAACATGAAAACAACTACTCTTTCTTGCTGTGCATTGTTCAAAGGGGTGAGGCAGACAATATAAAGTAAGTATGGCAAATAAGTAAATTTTACTATATATCATTTTTCTTACTAAATCATTTTTAAGTGCCCTACTCTGTGAATCTCAAGCTTAAATTTTAAAACATTAAGATGAAGTGCATGTGTTATTCATTTGCCATTTTTTTCCTTTGGAGGGTCTAAGAAATTAAACATTTTTTCTTGCTTAAAGCAGAGATCATCATAACAAGTCATAAACTTTTAAGTTGGGAGAAATAGTCTAAAATGGCCTAATATAAAATTCTAAAATTTGTGATTTGTTCCAGATGAGATACTCCGGAATGCCAAATTAGAAAGGAGGTTTGGGGATAGAGGAGGGGGAGGGGGAGGAGAGAGAGAGAGAGAGAGAGAGATTCTCAATTTTCAGTGTGTCAGGTGTAAGTATATAAATCAAACATAGTTTAGGAATTTCTAGATTATGTCAGAATTCTTGCTAAAATTAGCTGCAGGAATCAGATATTCAATTTCATTTCTTTTTTGGTTGAAATTCTGTAATTAACATGGGTAAATAACATTAATTGTAAAATAAAAAATTTGACAACTATTCTAGAAATTTAGAAATTAGCAAGAAGTAAACACATAAATCTCCACTTTAAGTAAACTTGAGTGTAACAAAACAACATTTCTTCTGTTGTATTTTAATAAAACAATTTGGCCTTATACATTCTAATAACAGAATAACTTTGGTTAAAATTATAAATTATGAACTATAGTCCTATCAATAACATTGAATTCTCTGATTTTTCTTATGACTTCAAAAATTGGTAACAAATTCATTGCTAGGTATTGTAGATAATGTTAGTGTATCAATGACTAAAATTATCTTCTAAGTGATGATATTATACATAGAGTATCCCAGTATAATTGTGACTTTAATATTGAACTACATCTTAACATTGAAAGATTGGTAAATAAAGGAAAGGAATTTGAATTAACTGAAACTTAGTTTTTAACATTCAATGTCATAGAAATGTCTGTGCTTATCATTAATCATTTTTCTGAAGAATTTTTACTGGTAAATTATAGTTGAGTTGTTATTTATAGCTGATTAGGAATTAACACTATTTTTGGTAACAATAAGTTAGAAAAGCAAATATTTCTGTGCTCTACTTTCAAATCAGACTGTACATGAAAAGAAGGGATGTTATGACAGAAAAAAAGAAGTATTGTTCCACTCTTGTCATCATCAGTTCATTTCTTCATTTCTGGGAAAACTTGAGGACTGTTTAGCAAAATGCTGACAAGTAGACTTCAGAGAAATCTAATTAGTAATTTCTTCTGTTGGATAAGTGGAGAATGGAAGGTAATTATAGAAACTCAAAGTTAGTCTTCAAATTAAAGCCCAACTTAAATATAATTTAAAGCCTTTATACCTTTAAGCTCACATCTCTCACAGCTTTTTGATTTTGTGGTGGTTCATCCATATTAATGTACCTAATGACAGACACTCTGAAAAGGTGAGAATGAATACTTTTCCTTTGACATATCAGCAGAGGATGATGGTACAAAGTATGTCTTTCAGTGTGTATCTGTATGGACTCCAGGTCTGAATGATATATACTTCTACTTTATGCCTGCAAGATTCAAAAGGCCTTTTCAAATATTCATGTCTTTTTTTTTCTTTTTATTCTCTGCCGGTACGAGTTATGTGATGAGAAGAATGTCAGAATCTCTGGAGTTTTATTTTAAGTTTTATTCTTGCCTAAGGGGGGAAATATATTGAAAATTTGCTGGTCAAGCTGTTCCCATTTTCTCATAACATGACTAATAATTGCAAAGCAGTTTGTTCAGATAATTTAGCCAGACCTTGCATAGTCACCAAGATGGATTATGAACTGACTTATTGGGCAGTGGCTGGCAATCCGTCTGTAACACCTGGAGATAACAGGCCCCTTTGTGTTTCCTGTTACAACCACAGAGAGGTCAAAGGAGGCACGGAGACCAGGGATCTTTTTTTCCTTTTGACTGAATTTTGATCATTTTTCCCTGATAGCGGTTCAACATGGGTCATAACTTCCCCATGTATGATGCATCAGGTTAATAGGATTTGTACTGCTTGAGGCACTTTTGCTAGTCCTCATGAAATCCTAGATAACAGCAGTTGCTGATTAGGAGCATGGTAATACATACCTCTACCCACTAAACCTAACCTGGGCCTGAATGGGCTATGTGTGAATAGTTTTGTCAGTATACTCATTATTTGTTGCTGTGGTTTATCTTTTTTATTTTTCTTGGTTTTGAAAACTTGAAATATACATTCAGGTATATTTCACTTATAGTCCTCTTCATCCCTGAGATGTCTGGATACATTTTTAAATAGTTTTAAAAATTTTTTTCATTAGTTCTGAGCTTCACTTTTCTTCAACTAGGAGAAAAAAAAATTAGAAGAAAATCACCAGCTGGTGGGAAAGTCATTTGGAGGATGTTAGCCAATTAACCTTTATATAATAATTATGAATTAATAACTTTTTTGTCCTCAATAAAATTCATGCATTTAGTTAGCTTTGGGGAAAAATGTAAGAGGAAAGAGAAATAAAATCACAGCAAAGTGATTCATCACATTATAATAAAACAGTTGTGGCTTCAAGGACCTGTAGTCTTTAAAAACTACCCAACATAAAAAGGATGAGGAAATTAAAACTATAACTTCCCAAGTATGAGAATATCAACTTGATTCTGAGTTAAGTAAATAACTTGTCAATCCCTTTTCATAATAGGAACAACCACACTGGGATGTAACATGCATTAAGAAAGTGATTAAAATGATCCCAACCAGTGCACTAAATTTTTAAACAAGTTTTCACTATCAGCACAGAAAGAAAATTCACTGGCAATAACAATAATATCCAATTATGCAAAAATATCTTTTGACATGTGATGAAAACATAACCTCTGGATACACATTCTCTTTTAGGTTTTCAGTGGGAATTATGCTGAAGTGATTAGGGCAGGATTTTGTCCAATAAATAAACTGAAAATTTTGTAACAAGTGGTAGAGTGATACATATTAATTCTGAACAGATTGACACTGTAATTTGGGATAAAAACCATAACGATTACAGAACACAGTCAGTGTAAATCTGGTCTGATGGACTGGAACAGATTGTCCACCTGTTTAGGGCCAGCTCTGCATCACTTGGGATGCATAATGTTATCGAGGTCCATCATATTCACGGTTTGGAAAGGTTTACAGGTTAGCAAAGAGGAGAAATATTGAGCCATGGATCATGCTTTTTTCCCCTTTTATGTAACTATCAGGGCAAAATTTAAAAAAAGACATAACTGAGCATGCTAAAGAATAAAATAAGAAAACCCAGAGGAGATGTAAACATTGTTGCAAGCCTTTCATTGGAGATAATTTGGAAAGCTTTCTAAAAGGCATTTGAAGGACATGAATGTGGAATAGATTGTTTTCATTTTCATAAAATCAATAAATTCCGTGTAAGTTAACGCAATCAGAGGGATTTTTAAAATGCTAAGTTGAAACAAAAAAGATGGAAAGAGACTCTACTATTACAATGGTCACATCTGGGGCACTCTGTGTATCCAAAACCAGCAAGATTAGGCTTTTGTGAATATTCATATTTTAAAATATAGGGAAGCCCCGCCCCCTAACCCCTAAGTGTGTGAGGGGCCAGAGTCCTGGAGCTGAAGGAGGGCTCAGGGAAGAGGAGGAGGAGAGCCAGCCACGGAGGTGCCAGCCGACCGAGCTCCCAGGCGCGAACCAGCCCTCCCTCGGCCTCCCAGGTCCCCAAGATGGAAACTGATTATTTGAAAAGGTGCTTTGGGAATAGCTTGTCCCAGGCACTGGCAGACGTGGCAAAGGTTCAGCCCAGTGACCCAACAGAGTACCTGGCTCACTGGCTTTATCATTACAGAAAAATTGCTACAGAAAAAGAAGAGAATAGGCAAGAGAAGATCCAGTTGCAGGAGGAGTATGACTGTAGCCTGAACGAAAAGGAAATGATGGAAATGCTGAAACAGGAAGAGTATCAGATCCAACAGAAATGTACACAGTGTCACAGGGAACAGATTTCCACAAAGAAGGCCATATTCATGCAGGAAGACACACGAGCTTTTGAGAAGGAGGCCTTGAAGCAAGAATCCTTGCCAGGTACTTCCGAAATGACTCCAGCAATGCCTCAACAGAGTCCTCCTTCAGAGTCAGCTGAACAGACTGAGCAGAACTTTGATACTCCACAAGAAATAAACTTAGAGAAGATGCTTCCTATTGAAGTTGCTCATGAAATGCTTCCTAGTTCCAAATTCCCTCCTTAGATTATCAGAATGGAGAGAATTCTACTGACCTTTCTCTTAACACTTCAAGCCAAGAAAATGACCATGAGAATGAGCTCTCATCTAAACTAAGATTTAAGGGACTGTGAAAGGAGGTGTCTAAAAGTTCTCTCCCATCTAAGGACTGGTCTGTTAGCCATGAAACCCCTAAATCATGAGAGAATTTGAACTAGTTATAGGATAAAATCAACTCACAATAAGGATTAAAACAAGTAACAAAACTGAAAAAATAATCATAGAGAAAAGAGTGGGTTTTTTTTTTTTTGACAGAATATGCTGCTGGTCTAAAGATTATACTACATGTCATTAAGGGGTAATTTCACTTTTTCTTAAGGTAGAAGGAAATGTCTTTTTACTATGGTAATAAATCTGTCTTTTTGTTATATGAAAAGCCTAATCATAATGTTAGTCATTGTAAGTACAGGCTATTATGGATGTTACTATTGAAATATCTTTCCTATCTATACTCTTCAAACTTGCTTATTTAAATTTATTTACAAAATTGAGTATGTGGGTGTTATTCTCCTTATATCTTGTCTTTTTCACCCTTTGCTTATGTCACCAATCATTAACTTGTAGTGTTTCTGTTGGCATAAAAATGAAATATCATTTTGTTATGTCTTAATATACAGAAACAATGTTTTAAGCTCATTGATGTTCTCTAAATGCACTTTTTGGAGATATTTTCTAGTGAAAAATTTATTTTTCTTTTAGTATCAAAATATTTCTTAGAATAAGGATTTTAAATTCCACAATGTCAAGTATAGGAGTTAGTTTAGAACACTGAAGATATATTCTTGTGAAAAAAATTGTCAAATGAGTAAAAAACCATTAGAAAAATCTAAGAAGTTTTTAAAATTGCATCTCTCTTTCCTGCTGTTTCCTATACTGTCTGTGAAAGAATGAGAGGGAGGGAGGGAGGGAGGGAGAGAGAGAGAGAGGGAGAGATCTTTTAATGATTCATTATCATATTTGACAGAACTTTTAACAATCCAAGATCAAATAGTCAGAAAAATCAATGTGTCTCATATGGTTATGTAGTAGTATACATCTTGTTTTATACAGGTATAATTATTTTATACCTATAAATTACTTATGTAGAAATAAATGCTAAAACACATGACCAAAAATATAATAACATCACATTACATATGCAAGATATTGTAGTGGAAAATAACTAGATTATTTATTTATTTATTTAAATCAGTAGTTTTCAAATTTCTCTGAGATATGTATCTATGTATCTGATATCTATTTATATCTACATATCTATATCTCACTTTATGTATATCAAGTGGGAAACCTTTACACAATATTGATGTCTTGCTTCCCAGTTTTCTCACCCCAAGTCCCTAGGACATTATATTGTGCAGTTAGGATTGAGAATCACTAATTTAATTTATCTTTTTTCAAATGGGCTAATTGGAGTCATACCTTCTTATATCAAAGAATTTGTGAAAAATAGTAAGTAGAATAGTATCATAAATATGTTGAACATAGTATGATTATCAAATAATTGGTCATCTATTGGAGGTATATTGCCTAAAGATTAAAGTAGAGGTTATTAAGATTTTGAAGGAATTACTTAACCAAATATGGGAGATATCAAAGAATGCTTCTTGTTGAAGGAAACTTAAAATCTTTGTGACAGAGCAAAGAAAAACAATAAGATAGAAACTTAGAACTTGCTACTGGATGACATATTTTACAGGAATACATACAGAAGTTCATCAGACTGAAAGAAAAGTCACTAGATACTAATTTAAACCTACACAAAAGATATAATTACCTCATTAAGTAATTTTGAAATGCAGTTTAATGGCATATTTTTTCTATGATTGAAAATATGAAGAGACCTAAAATAATCAGAGATCAAAATTGTGATTTATAAACATCTCATGAAGAAAAGCTTGGGCCCAGGCAGCTGGTGAATTCCATCAAACATTCAAAATAGAATCAATGCCAGTCATTCATATAAACTTCCAAAATATATGAAAATAGAGAATATTTTTATATTTATTCTATTATGCTATTTTTACCATAATGTCCAAACCAGGCAAAGACATCAAAGAAAAAAAATCTACATAACATTATGTCTTATTAATATGAAGACATACACACAAGAAGGCTCTTCAACAAGGTGGTATCAAACTGAACCCAACAACACATAATAAAGGTTGTATATCACAAGCAAGTGAGATTTAGCTTAGGAATGGAAGACTGTTTTAACAACTGTTATGATTCAAGCCTAAAATACCCCACAAGTCTTGTGTTTAGAGATGGGTCTTTTGGACTGTGATTACACTATGAGGTCACTATACTTATCCGTTGGTTGGTGAGCTCATAGCTGACCGTGCTGCTTGGAAGTGAGGCCTCGTCAGAAGAAGTGGATAATGGGGAGCATGACTTAAAAAAAGATGTTTTCTTTTCCACAGCTTTCTCCTCTCTCTCTCTCTTTCTTTTCCTCCCTCCCTCCCTCCCTTTTTCTCTGCTTCCTTGCCACCATGGGCACCACATGCCCTTCCACAATGTCATTTTTGCAAGTAAGAGGGCTATGTACTGAATACACCAAAATTCTGAGCCAAAATAAAACTCTTCTTCTTAGACTTGCAAATGTTAGGTATTTTGTCCAGGAGATGGAAGTCAACTAATATGGAAAATTGGTGCCAGAAATGAGGGTCATTGATGTACCTGAACATATACTTTAGAAACCTTTGAGACTGGTTTGCAGGAAGAATTTGGAAAGCTTGGGGGTATAGAATAGAGAAACATTAGAATTTAATAAGTCTAGCTTGAAGGGTGATTCTAATTGGAGCTCAAAATAACAGAATGCTGATAAAATGCCAAAAGTAATAGCTCATGAGGTTTCAGATTGGAGAGAAAATTCTGTTGAAACTGGACTAGAGGTGATGTGTGCTATTTTCTGGCAAGAATCTTCAACATTTTGCCTATATTCTAAGATTTGTGTGAGGCTAAATTAAAAGATAGTGAACTAATTAATCTGGTGGAAGAAACTTCAAGGAAGCCCAACATTCAGGCTGTTCTATGAGTCTGCTTTTAGCCAGATTTATATTGAGAATCAGTATCAAAAAGCAGAGCCAAATAATATGATTCTTGGTCAGAATGATAGTATCTGTAAAGTTTGGGAAAAGGAAAATGTGGTTGCTGAAAAGATTGGGATTATAAAGAAGCCAAGTATTTTGTATAAGGCTACTAGAACAGATGGGTAGAAGGCAGCTCGATAATCAGGAAGAGGCCGGGGATTTAGCTCAGTGGTTTCGCCGCCTGCTGCACAAGCGCAAGGACCCGAGTTCAATACCTGGTTCCCCCCCTCCCCCCCAAAAATCAGCAAGATCTTAAAGGCTCAAGGTACAAAATTGTAAAATTTTCATTTGAGAAGAGAGTCCATGGATCCCCTGCTCAAAAAGAGCCACCTAAGAAATTGGTTGCCTTGTATTCATATCACCAGGCTTAGCCATATGGACACTCAGATGCCTCTGCAGCCATGGTCCAAAGGATCCAAGTTACTTCTTGAGCTGGTGGCACACTTTGGCATCACCCATGTGGTACTGCTTTTTTCAAGCTTGCAGAAGGTAAGAGTTGTAGGGTCAGGAAAGATTTGGATGCCCCTGAGGAGACAATGCATTAATCTGTGAGAGTGAAGCCAAAGGTATAGAGAGACCCAAGGAAGTTGGAGATGGTAGAAATGTGGAACGTCTGCTGAGGAAGACCACAGGCAGTGAGTGGCACTAGCCCAAAAGAGAAGTCATGTGGGTTGCAACCTGCAAGGCCATAAGGATGGGGCTGCCCAAGCCCTTTGTGCTCATGTTACATCATCATGTATCCCACATACTGGACAGATTTTAATGTTTTCCCTGCTAGATTTTGGTCTTGCTTATGTCTGATTTCTTTCTATTCCCATATTCCTCCCTTTTGAAATGAGACTGCTCACTCTGTGCCATTGTATGTTAGAAGTATTTAACTTGCTTTTTGAGTTTCACAGGGGCTCACAGCTGAGAATTTGCTGTGTGTCTCAGAGACTTCGGATTTGTACTTTTCAGCAATGCTGGAAATGCTAAGATTCTGGCAACTCTTAGAGATGGACTAAATGCATTTTGCGTAATGAGATGGAAACCAATCTTTTGGGAGCCAGTGGTGGAAAGTCCAATACTCTAGTGAAAGGTGTGTTACCTTAGCAATTTCTGTCATGAGGGACAGGATGGATCTGTGTAGAGAAGGAAAAATTTTCAGAATAATTTTGATATAAAAGAAGTGTGAAGCAAGTATGGTGTTTAACAGAAAGTGTAGAGTGAAGATTGAATGATTTTAAAGAAATATTATTGTGGTCTTCACCTTCCTTTGCAAAATGATTCAACTTGAGCCAGGTGTGGTGGCACACTCCCATAATCCTAGAACTCAGAAAGCTGAGGCAAGAGGATTACCATGAGTTCCAGGCCAGCCTGGAGCATATTGCAAGACCTTGTCTCAAAAGAACAAAGAAAAAAATGAAATGTGAACTTCAAATAGAGAATTAAATTACCTTGACTTTACTCTTTGGCATGGAAACTGCTTCTTTTGTGTAATATAGTGTCAGTGACATTATTTTTCTCCCAGGAAAAAACAAATGAATTTTTGTGACTATTTTCACAGTTCTCCAAATGGTAATAAATACCATGTCCATGGTAGATGCATATTAGAAATAAATTGGGCCGAGGTTTTAGCTCAGTGGTTCCGGCGCCTGCCTCATAAGTTCAAGGTTCCGAGTTCGATCCCCGATACCCGCCCCCCCCCAAAGAAAGAAAGAAATAGATTAAGAAATCCCCTAGTGTATTGACTGGGGCTTAATTCTCACAGAATCCCAGTTGAGATAGTATGAGAAAACTATCCCAACCCCCCCATATTCACAAAAGCCAAAGACACAAGTATAATTAGGCATATAAAATCAGATCTCTCTTGGCAAAAGAGTCAGGTTGGTCATGTTT